AAAAACGGCGCCCCTGTGACGGGGATCACACTCAGCACCCGAGTGGGACGGCTGAGCGAAACACACTCTGACATTGGTTTTCAGTGACTCAGTTCCCACGTTGAGAAGGAAGGTGAAGGAACGGAAAGGTGCATGAGTCCGCAGAAAAGTATTGTTGAACAATGTTTCCGAAAGCGTGCAAGTGGAAGCGGCGTTCAGCAGCTGCAGTGTGGTGGGAAACCTGTTTGAGAGGGAGGTATCGTGCGAAAACACCATGGAAGCAAACCAAGGAAGATTGGGGTGACAGCTTGTGAAAAACTCAGCAGGTACATGGTCAAGCGTCCTCAACCACATCCCTTCCAGTGACCCAGCTTCGTTGGATCAGGTTAGTCACTGGAAGCCTGATCCCCCTGCCGAAGTTGGTTGAGAACCCTTTGTCCAGGGGTGGACACACACACAATATATATATATACACATATACTCTGCTTGTACAGTTCTGACCAAGACTTGTGTGTGTTTTAGCTCAAGGAGGAAGGATGCTCAGTAGCGTCGATACAGTGTTTTGATTTTGATGGTAGCGAGAAAGCCTGGTGAATCTGAACGGTGGAAAGCTCTCAGAGGAGGAGGCGATCGAGGAGGAGTCGGCACCGGAAGCAGCGGCTGCTTCAGTCGCACCGGCGGCCAAGGAAGAAGAAAGAAAGAAGAGAAAGAGGAACCTTTGCCCGGAACCGAGATTGCAGTTGAAAAAAGGCAGAAGAAAAGGAAGAATCCGAAAAGTAGGAAAACAGAGGAAGAGACCGAAGATCCTGACCCATCTCAGGCGGTCGGTGCAGCCGGAGATTTTGACGAGCGCTCCTCCAAGCTGGGTGTTTCCCACGTGGCGGCGGACGGAAACCCTCAGAGCTGGGAATTGAGATCTCCCAGGCTCCACGGTCGTGCTGAACGAGGACTCGGCAACGCGCCTTGGCGAACGGCTGGTGCAGCCGCAAGAAGCAGAAGGTTGAAGAGGCCAAGGAGATGAAAACGGAGAGGAAACAGGTATTTGGAGAAGCACCAATAGGCAGACCGAGGCATCGCCTGAGGAGTTCTGCTTCATCCGCTTGTAGGGTTCACCAGAGGAGCTTCAAACCGACATCAGGGAAGGAGGAAGGTTCATTTTCCAATCGAGGCCGTTCACCAGGTTGAAGTCAAGGAGCTAGATCAGGTTGAGAAGCACCGGGGGGTCTACTGCGATTCGAGGGGTGAGAAGTGTGCAGAACCGCGACCAACCATTGGTCGACATGTGTGTGGGGAAGAGCCTTGCGATTGAATATCGCCATCAGGGATCTGGCCAACCTAGCCGCAGAAGTGTGGCAGCATCGAAGAGAAAAGATGATGAAGCCAGAGGCTCAGGATTTGGCCCAGGATCTGCAAGCAATCCGCCGTTGCCAGCAAATAGCGGGAGTGAAGAGGATTGAGATGAGAGAAGCACCACAGTTGGAGAAGAAGCCAGAGGAGCCAAAGCGGCAGAGCCCAAGAAGAGAGCAGAGTCAGACAAATTCTTGGGAGATGCAGATCACCTAGCAAACTCTCGGAGTTGAGGGTTGAGACCGAAAGGAATCTCACACCCAATTCCTGATTCAGTTGATCCGAATCGATGAGAAGAGTGGCAATACAACAACAACAACAACACCTGCTGCTGCTGCTGCCGCTGCTGCTGCTACGGCAGAAGTTTGGTGGCTTGCCGCCTGGTGCCCCCAACCCTTGCGTGACTCAGCGATCATGTTGCTTGCAGCTACAGCTGCTATTAGAGTTTCCAGAAGCGGGCAGCAAGTGCCAGCCCACCCATGCCTGCATGGCTGGGTGGCTGGCTGCAGTGCAACCATTGCAAAAGAGGCGTTCTGCGCTTTGAGCGGCTACTACTACTACTACGACGACGACGACTACTACCACAACTCTAATACTACCACCTCCACCACCATCGCCGCCACCATCATCACCAGCGCCACGACCACTACTCCGCAATCGTCACCGCCGCCCATCATTATCACCGCCGTCGTCGCCGCCGCCGCCGCCATCAAGCACTACCATCACCACCAACATCACCACCGCCACCATCACTGCCATCACGGCGTCAATCACCACCACCGTCACCACCGCATGATCGCCGCCTTCATCGCCGCGACCATCACCACCGTGACAATCGCCACCACCATTGCCCTGATCACCGCCCCCATCATCACCACCACCATCACCTCCTTCTTCTGGAGTCCATTTTGTCTAGATCTCTAGACTTATGACATAAAGCTGCCTGCTATGTCTGAAAAACCTTAAAATAGTTATTTTAGGAAAATAATAGGAATAAAATAGGAAAAAATAGGAACTGAAAATAGGAAAAAACAGGACACAAAGAGGATGAGTCTCAAAAATAGGAAAAGAAAAGAGCTGGATTTAGAAATAGGAAAGGACAAGAATGGCAGCGCTCTAGGACAGGAACATAAAATGGACCTAGCCCCAGTGGACCCAGGTCTGGCGGACCTAGCCCCAGGGTATTTAGGCCTAGCCCCGTGGACCTAGGTCTAGCGCTAGCCCCAGTGGACCTAGGCCTAGCCCCGGTGGACCTGGCCTATTTTTCCTATTTTTCCTATTTTTCCTATTTTGGGGGGGGGTGCGAAAATCGTCCTATTTTTTTCCTATTTTCAATTCCTATTTTTTCCTAATGTTTTCCTATTTTTAAATTAAAAATAGTAAAAAATAGGAAAAATTAGGAAAAATAGGAAAAATTAGGAAACATAGGAAAAATAGCTTCCCCCCCCAAAATAGGAAAAAATAGGAAAAATTAGGAAAAATAGCCCCTCCCCCCCAAATAGGAAAAAATACGAAAAATTAGGAAAAATAGCCCTCCGTGGACCTAGGTCTGGCGGACCTAGCCCCAGTGGACCTAGGCCTAGCCCCGGTGGACCTAGCCCCAGTGGACCTAGGTCGGTGGACCGAGGCAATGATCCTCTGTTATTCCTATTTTTTGTTGTCAGCCCTATTTTATTCCTATTTTGGGGTCCTATTTTGTTCCTATTTTTTCCTAAAAATAAACATTTTTGAACACTCCAGAGATAGCAATAGCTTTTTTTCATAACTCTAGACCTTCTACTTCTACCTCTGGACCTTAGACTTTAGAGCTTTAAACGCACTATTTGGGTCTCTCACTGGGAGAACATACCAATTTATAACTGTAGATGCATGTTCATATTTTTGAGAAAGTTGTTAGATCACTAGTGGCAACTTTATAGCCAAGTAATATATCGTTTCCCTTCTGTATATTAGACATAAAGGTTTCATCGCTGGCCGTGCATTTTGCAGACTTCATTTCTCTACGAAGTGCCCGGGCAGACATTTAAGGCGTCGTGGAGCCTTGCTGGACAAGCGATTCCGCAACCTTGTGGAACCTTTCTGGAACACGGAGCCCTTGCCGGGGCCTGTGTTTCAATTTCGCTCGGAATTTGTTTAGTTTGGCGTCTTCTGGCACTTTAGTATGTTCGATCTTTTGTGCGACTGGATTCGGCTCATTTTTGTAGTCTGGCAGCTTTCTGGTATCTACAGTAAGCGCAATGTTTTGACGCTTGTTCTGGCACCATGTCTGGTTTGCGCATTGACGCATCATCTATCCCAAAACCTGCGAAATGTTTGGCGGTCTGACGTCCGTGCGTGTTGGCGTGTGTTCTGCCATTTTTCCCTGTCTGACATGTGATGTGACGTATGGACTGGCTTTGGTCCTAGTATGCGCTTGCGGTTGAGGTCCGGGAGTGCGCTGCGAGGCTGAGGTCCGGTAGTGCCCGCTTGTTGTCGCGTTCCGGTA